GCACCCCCTGCCGACCCAGCCTCTCCCCCCCCGCCACCTGTACCCTCCTGCTGCCCCAGCCCTAGGTCACTGGTAACTCACTCCCAGGGCAGGTCATCAGCATCCCGCTCATGACACTAGCAGAGGCTGCATCCACCCAACTCCTTCCCGGCCCCCAGGGGGGCCCTGACTCCACCCGCTCCCCTCTCATCTCCAGCCGGTCTGGCGCTGGCAGGGTCGGGGTAAGCAGCGGGGCTCCCGCGCCTCAGCCCAGGGTCCCTCGAGCCGGGACTCCTGCCTCCAGGACCGGCAGGGAATTAGAAGGGCAGAGCCGGGAGGGACTGCCTCGGCAGGGCAGCCTCAGAGGGAGCAGCCAGCGGGGAACGGAGCCCCAGAGAGCGGGACGTGGGCTCCACACAGCAGCGCCCCGGGCACCGGTCCCCTCTATGGCCCCGCTGCTGCTCCTGGCCACCCTGCCGCAGCCCCTGAGCGACTCGGGCCGCTTCGCCCAGCCCCGGCGCTGGGGGGCAGCCGCCCTGCAGCAGTTGCAAGTGGCTCCGTGTGCCCTGCATGGTGGCCCCCAGCCCAAGTGTCCCGTGCTCCACGTGTCAGAGCCCGCCGGATGGCCTGCCCGGGCCTGGCAGCACAAACCACAGCAGCCCCAGGGCACCCCCCGTATACGAAGTGCTGCTGGACCCCAGTCACAGGGCCAGCTTTGGCCACCCGCTGCGGCTCTTCCACCTGGACTGCAGCATCAGCTTGGGGGCCAGGACAATGTCTACCTGGGGGAGTGCCCGCAGAGCCCGCCCCCCCCCAAAAAAGATGGCCCGAATGCTGCCACTGCAAATGTGCCGCCCCAAGCACCTGCTTGCTTTGCTGGTGCATAGAGCCAGTCCTGGGTATAATCTCCCAATATCATTCATGGGTATGGCTTGAATTAGGTCAGTTGTGACATGCCTGCCAGTCTGACCCTTCTCTGATGGCACCACTGCATTCCACAGAGTGTGGGTTTTTCCTTAATTGAAAAAAAGATGCACTCATGACATCAGGATAACCTACCTCTGTGTAAAATTCTAGTAGAGGCACCACACAAGTAGTTTTTGTCTTGATATAGGCTTGACATTGTGAGTAACTATATTTCCCCCCACCCCACCCCTAGGGCTGACCTTCACCAGCTACATCAAGATAAAAACGGCAATGCCTTGTCCCCACTAGCGTTCAGCGAGATGATGCACTTCACGGACGTAAAAAACCAGCATAAACCATTCACATATAATAAATTTATGGGCTTGAATCCCAACAGTGTTATCCATCATTTTGGTACACGCAGTCTGCTCCGCTGTGCTGGAGACGAGAACCACCACTTTCTACCCCTTCGTTTGCCCTGAGGACTTGAAGCCAATGCAATCCCCATCGCTTTTCGGGAGACGCCGAGCGGAGGTGGTGGGGGTGGGGAGAGAGAGGAGATAACTGGTCGGAGATTGGGGAATATCCGAACAGGCGGCATCAGAGCCATGTGGACCTGCGATCAGAGCCACTCTCCGTCTCCAAGATCTGGGCCCCACTCGTGCCGCCGAGCGGAGCCACCTGGAGCGCCAAACAATCGCGTTGCGACACCACCAGGGCGAGCTCCCCCCGCCCGCCGCGGCGGGCCGAGGTGACGCCACCGCTCGGGCCTCCGAGCCGCGGACTCCCCGAAGGCCACATGCGGGGCTTCTGGAGCCAACAGCCCGTACGGGGCAGCCCCTCTGGGGACGGGGGCTCCCTGGACGCTCCCCCACAGCCTCGGCCACTGCCGGCTTCTCCCCCCAGCCCAGCCTCCGGGGGGAGCCCGCTCCCCAGCTCCTTCAGGCCCCGGCCCCCGCTCCTAGGCGAGCCTCCCTCAGCTCGGTCCCGCCGCGGCCCTTTGTTCCCGTAGCCGGGCTGGGGCCGCCCCGCTCGGACAGTGGCAGAGCCGCTCCCGCCTCCTCACCTGGACTCTCGGCCCATGGCTGCCCCGGGCCCGAGCGCGCGGAGCAGCGGCGGCCTCCGCGATTCAGCTAGATCCGGGAACCCCTACGCAGCTGCCGCCATTACGAGCCCGTAGCGCGGTGACCAACGAGAGGAAGGAGCGGGACAGGCAGCGGGAAGCTGCCTGCCCCACTAGTTCCCCGGGATACAGCGCACCCTGGCGGCGGGAGGCGGGAAGTGCAGCCTACGCCTCGCGCCGGTGGGGGCCTGAGAGAGCAGTGCAGGGAGCGCACTTACACCTTAAAAAGAAGAACAGGGGTACTTGTGGCACCTTAGAGACTAACAAATTTATTAGAGCATAAGCTTTCGTGGACTACAGCCAAGTGGGCTGTAGTCCACGAAAGCTTATGCT